ATTAAACCCCTTTGCCGCCCCCCCCCCCCCCCTCCTTTTGAATGAGTAAGGGGTCCTCATTCACTAAAGGGTTAAAAGTGAATAAAGAAACCACACATTAAGTGGGAAAAAAACAGTCAGTTTTTGACAATTCCTTTATTTATTTTTTTAAATGGCTGCATCGATGTAATCCAGTGTTTATCACGATAAACAACACCAGCCGAAATGGAAAAAAAGTCCCGCCGTACGACAACCCGTCCGAGCCCGAGGAAGACTGGCTGCAAGACCCACGCAAGCACAGGGAGAACATGCAAACTCCTTGCAGATAGTGACCTGGCCAGAGTTTTTTTCTGTTGTCTAATGTCACTTTGCTGCAATGAAAATTCGTTCATCACGAAAAATTCGGAATTCATCCGAATCCCAAAATTAATTGACTTTCAGACCCGAATCCCCAAAAACGAAATAACAAAATCAGAATGAAGATGAAACGAACCAAATTTTTTGCCAGCGCACATGTCTAAAAAAACGGTATATAATATGTGTGGGTGCAATTAATGAGGAAGATGGAAATTATGGTTAAACACATTGCAAAATTGGCAAAATTGCTCCAGTCCTCAGGAACGAAAATATTTTTTGAAGCTGTGTCACTAAGGGGTTAATTTGTTTGGCTATGTTTTGTTTTTTATACAATGATGTTTTTTTAATTTTTTCCCATCCTTTGTTGCATACTTTAATCACTGACGTGTACTAAACTGTTATGTGTCTGTCCAACTAGGCAGTCCCATGGATCTAATACTGCGATTTGTCCTGTTGCACAGGTACCTCTGCCTTCATACAGTCAGCTTCGCATATGTGTCAGTGTGTATTTGCTAGTCACACAGGATTTAGGTGGATGTTTGCACTATTCATGAACACCCTTTAGGATCCTGATTGACTGAGGGCATCCAGTCATTTCATAAACAACTCTGGGATTTGCTGTGGCTACATTACAGAATCCTTGAGGTTTTATCCTACTGCTGAAGCCAAACTTTGTAGATTACACTCCAGTTCTCTTCCCTGTTTATAGAGGGTGCCCACTTTTTACTGAAGCTAGCTTTGGAAGAGCTTCTACCCATGCACAGCTTGTTTCAGTTCTTGACCTCCTGTCACTTATGCCAGCTGATCATGCCAGATGATCCAGTTTTAGCCCTGCAGACTTCTGTGCCTGCTGATCTGACTTTAGACTTGTTAACTGTGCCAAATGGTCTGGCTCTATCACATTCCCAATCTATTGTTATTTGTTCCAGACCTGCTTCTACCTGTCCTATCCGACGCCAGACATTCCTCCTCCTGTGCCACTTAAACTAACTACAGACCTGTATCAGCTGATCCAACCACAGACCTGCCTCCACAAGTGGCAGCTAATCTAGATATAGACTTTACTTCACCTGTACCATTTAAACCATTGGTTTCTAGATATTTGATCCGGTCATGTGCCCAATTGAAATGGGAAATGTGGTTTGGTGGTGTTGAGGAGGTTTTTGGAGATGGATAGATAAACATGATTTTGTGAAATTCAGTTTAAAATTCGAAAATGCTACATATTTTTTTAATGGCCTGCAGTTTACTGGGGAGGGACATAGAAAGTTTTGTGATAAAGAGAATTAGGTTGTCAGCGAGAGCACCTATTGTATGGTTGTTTGATGTTTTGGTGAGTCTAGTTAGATTTTGATCAGATCTTATGCAGCATAAGAAAAGTTCCAATGTTAGCACAAATATTAGTGGGGACAATATGCACCCATGGCAGGTCCTATTGGATATTTTGAAGTAGGTGGACCTGGTTTCTTTTACTTTCATTACAGCAGTTGGCGACGAATAGAGAGTGCATATATTTATGCCCTCATGTATTTGCCTAGGCCTATATGTTTTAGGGTAACTGCCAGTTAGCCCAATCATCAGCATGTGAAAAGCAGGGACTCTGTGGTGTTATCTTGCTCTTCTCGTGAAGGCATGAACCCTGCTTGATCAACATGAATGAGCTTTTGCATATTTGGTAAGAGAATGTTGGCAGGTACCCTTTGAAAAATGTTTTAGATCTATGTTTAGGAAGGCAATGGGTATTAACCACTGGGTATTAACCATATAATCACTGCATTATTTTTTTTAAAGCACC